CAGCTGAACTGCACATTCAGTCTGCGCGATCGGGAGCGCGAGGCAAAGTGAAAGGCAATCTCGGGAACCTTGAACCGGTGGAACACCTCCGTGGTCCGATTGACGCTGAAAAGGTTCTGTTCCGTGTTCCTCTTTCCACGAGCCGCGCACAAGAAGCGCAACGGCGTGTTCCGCCGGCGTGAAAGAATGCATGACGCGTGGCTATTCCGCGCGAGGCTGCTGCCATTTACGCGAGACAATGCCAGGAGCAACGGACTCGGCCTGTTTACGTTGCTGTGAAGGAAGCATGGCGGAAGAGACGAGCGGAAGAGAAGGAGAGAAGGGAACAGGCAGGAAGGAAAGGAAAAGGGAAAGGACGAAGAAAGAAAAGGATGGAATAAGGGAACGGCAGTAGAAAGAAGAGGATAGAAAAAGTAAAGGAGAAGGAGACGAAACGATAGAAAAAGGGAAAAGATGGAGTAAGGAGGAGCAGCAGAAAGGAAAGGAAAGAAAACGGAGAACAGAGAAAGAAAGAGAAGGAATGAAAAAGATAAAAAAGCAGGCTGACACAAGCACGCAGCCAGAAAAGGCGAAAGACGATTGTTCAGTTCATGCAGAGCTGGCTGGTTGTGTACCGCAAATCGCTGCGGTGGAGTTGCAAGATAATGCGTCCTGGATTTGAATGCGTATATATCTGGCGCAAGTCCTTGCAATAGTGACTCACATAAATATCCCGCGTACTTTTTCGCTTTTCCTTCTTTCTTTCCCTATTCCTTGAATAATCCTTAATGTTCGGACAGTCCGACGAGCACATATTTCAACCGGAAACACCGAATACCGTAGATACTACTCAACGACTAGCGCCTCATCGACGTCGAGGAACGGTGCCAAGCGAAATGAAATCTCAGACGGAGCTGCTATTTATCTTTCCCCGAAGTTAAGGAACTCCCGGGTCTACATATAGCGAGCGAGCCCCGTGTCGTACCGTTTGCCGAGAGACTAACGAGTATGCCGAAATTACTTAGAACATAATCCATGATTCCGGGGAGACAGTTCTTAACCAAAGGGAAGAGGGTGTGCGGTGGCGACAATCGCCCCAGCCGAGCGGAAACTATTCGTGGAACTCATGGTCGACGGGAATACGCTCCGTTCCATCGAGACTGAGCTAACAGACCCGTTGACTGCTGTTGAAACGAATGACCACGACCGTATTATCGCTTGCAATTAGTCGCCGCTTGATTCACGCTGATACTTTGATAATGCGTTTGCCGCGAGCGTGGTGTGATGTTTTGGAATTTCAACTTTGACGAAGCTTGGATGATGCTTGAGATAATCGTTGCAATTTAATGGTAGGCTGATTTATTTTCTATGTTTATCGTAAGGAAGAAAAGAGGGCAAAGGGAAATAGAGGAGTCAAAAGGCAAAGCGTTGTTGATACGTTAAATGCCATGGGAGCCACCGGCGTGGGACTTACTGTAAGCCCTCCAATTAAACGATGGCTATTTGAAAACATTCCTATATTGTAAATAACGCTACCTAATGCGGCGACATTCAGCAAGACAATGACACCACAATTCAATTCAATAATTTAATATTGTATTTTTTTCATTTCGCTATTCTGCACCTTAATATTGTCCGGCATTCAACGTGTTAAGAGAATTAAGAGATTCTTTAATGAATATGTCAAACTGGGCATCCCCCTGAGAGTGAAACTATCTCAAATCATCCTCCAGAATATCCTCAAACTCATCCTCACTCCCAATTTTTCGATTTACTAACATCTGTACCATGATTTACTCAAAAATTTTCCAAATTCGTATACACTAAGGAAGAATTTACCAGTTTAGCGTCACCAATTCGGAAACCTTAACTTTCGTGCGACTCATTCGACGTTTGAACCTTCCGAAAGCATTCGCCGAGGAAAACAAACATTTCGTTTCCTCCAGATGCTTAACGGAACATATGTTCGTACATTTCCACGGCCTAATCGGCGTGTCCACCCGCACACTAGCATCACGTGGGACAACATAGCGAGTCGACAAACTCGCGTCCGCTGTTTCGTGAGCAAACACTGACGGTACACGCCGAACATTATTCGAAACGCGTCGCGCGAACAGCAGTCAGCGGGTGAATCGCAATGGACAGGATTCCCCGGTTCATTTCACGGCATTTGGAATTCGCCCGGTGGATTGAAGCGAAAGAGCAACAGGGGCAATAAAGCGGCGCATCCTCGTTCGGTGTTGGTATCTGGCCCGTGATGCGGTTTGCGCAAACCCTCCGGGTTCCTAATTAATTCCAAATTACGGTCAGATCGAGGATGAATTACAGTTAGGACGGGCAGAGGGACGGGGGGGACTCCGATTCGCTGTACTTTCCGTTTATCGATGCGATCTTCGGGCTAATTACCGGAGGCCCGGTGAGTACACGCCGAGCAGATGCGTATGCGACAAAACATAAATGCACTGGTGCACGGTTTTCGCGTGTGTCCTGCTGCGTGTCCACCGGTGAGTTCAGACCTCGCGAATATCCAAATTCTGGCTTGAACCTCTGTGCTTCTATATTCGTGATTCACACTAGAACTACCGATCACTTAAACTGACTTTCACACATTTCTTTATAAAAACCATAAGCGTGCGTTTATTGAGATTTCAATTGAGTTGCGTTTCAGTTTTGCTATTACTGAACCAGTTACGTTAATCATTTTTCGTAGAAGTGTCTATACCTTTTTAGTCATTGTAAACGAGGAAATCAGAGATAAGTCATTCTGACTCGTGTGGTAGTTCTAGTGTTAAGGTAGCGTAAGTCAGGGAGAGGCGGACCACGTTTTTAAAAACTGTTACATACATATTGGTGCATAAACAGAAGTAAAATATGTTTATGAGAATTTGTGTATCTATATGAGAAGAATAGTTCAATCTCTGTAGGATTCAGTATATTATTCAAAAAAATTGAAAATATGTGACGATTTTAATCAGATCGGATCATCTACCCGGAATTAACCTAACTGCTGTGCATGCAGTGACGGTAGTGTGTCTAACACATTGCGTCGATAGTTTGATAGAAGCTATAAGTTATGTATTAATACGTTCGAAAATTTTCTATGCAAGCAACTGTGTTTTCTCAGTAATTATGGAAGAAGATACCAGGAACACGTAATTTCGATGTGTATGATAGTTCTAGCGTTATTTTCAGAGTAGCCATAAGTTACAAGTAACGTAAACACCTCTGCGAGTCATTTGCGCAAAAGTATTGCAAGTTACCGGGCCAGTGGACACGCAACTTGCCCCGTTCCTCCGAAATAACTGTGTTCGATCGCGAATCATCGTTTTCAGTCGGAATTTTTTACCGCGGCTCGACTAGCCCGCAACAAAAAGCCACCTGCGACGCAAGAAGTCGAACGATTTCCATTCGTCGGTTATCGATAACGAGCCGCGGTGATTAATCGCCGCGCTGTGACTCCACAGCAAACGACTGAAAAGCTTCTCCGAGCCGCGGCTGATCTGCATTATTAATTGTGCCTGGTCGTATCGGCGGAAGTCGGCCCTAGACAGACTGGCGAAGGCTCTCGCGAGTTTAACCAGCTCTGAGACACCGCGCGTCTAAAGACGTTATTTAACAAGTAAAGCGTTATCGTCGGCATTGGCTCAGCTACAGTTGTAACCGGTGTCGGGCAGAAGTTATACAAAACAACGAATAAATTCAATCTGATTCCTATTGGCGGATAACGAATAATTAATGTATTCTTTGTCCATGGATAATAAATGAATTGGATATATTCGTTATTTCGTTATTTTGAATCATTTTTACCTAACGCTCCAAGTAATAACACAAGAAACGTAAATGGCACTGCTTTTATGTCAACCGAATTTGGAAAATGACGAATAAAGGAAGGCGAAAATAAAAATTTCCTACACGAATGGCTGGAATAAGAACAACAAATGCTTTGAATAATTCATGATCGAATAACGGTTAATTATTCTTTCGTTATTGTCATTCAAATATAGTTTCATTCGAATAACGTACAACGTTGGTTGTAGTCATGGTACAACTAGATTGTCAGTGGAACTTCTGAGGTAGAACCTAAACTCTTCGGAATCACTGTCAATTGCCAAACGCGTCGGATACAGTTCCGAACCATAAGACAATATTTTTATCGCTTGAAACATAATATTACTTAACGCCTGAACGATTTGACAATCTAGCTACATCGTAAGGACAACTACAATTCAGACTTGGCTCCCAAGGGTTCGTGTTCCTTCTAGAGTAAAGTTATCCCTGGTTATTGTCAAGACCATTACTCACAAGTGAGTATTGTGAGGAGAGTGACCCTGAATTTGACAGTCCTCTCGGGCAGCCAGTCTCAAGAACAATAGTTTGAAGATGAAGATTCATTATCAAGTACTGAGCGACATTTCTTTTAATCGCGACTTGTAGAAGCGTTACATTTCTGTTTTATCTTATTTCTATCGTAAATGAATTGAACTTACAGCCAGCAATCTCACAAGGGAACCTTTACACTCAGTACACGCCAATTTTTATGAAACTTATGTGACACATAGCTCTCAGGAGAATATTTGACACGTACTTTTTCTTATCGGCCAACATCGATTTTGAACAGATGAAAACACCCCTTAAAGTTGAAGGTTGAAAGTATATCTTCTACAATATCTCTGAAACTAGGGAGTGTAGGAAACTATTTCTTTATTTCTTTTCTACATCCCCTAGTTTCAGAGACATCGTAAAAAATGTACTTTCAACCTTCAATTTTGAAAGGTGTTTTCGCCTGTTCAAAACTAATATTAACCGATAAGAAAAAATACGTGTGAAATATTCTCCTAAGAACTATGTCTCACATAAGTTTCATCAAAATTGGCGTGTACGGATTGAAAAGGTTCCCTTGTCAGACGCGTATACAAACGTTATGAGAGTCACTGGCAAAACAGAATACCCCAAGATTTTTGCGTGTGTATCTGAAGTTTTCCTATCAAATGAACACCTGGCTTAATCTCGGTTCATTGCAGGAGGATCTCGTGGCCCGGCTGACTAGGGAGAAGGCCGAGGAACTGCGGACGTTATCCTCGCAGCTGCTGCTGTTCGAGTCGAGGCTCTGCCGGAAGCAGAAGGAGATCGAGGCCAGCCTCGCCCAGCGAGAGTCCATTATCCTCAGACAGCAGAGGATGATACGACAATTGCAGAGCAGATTGGCGGAAAGAAGCACCGGGACCAGGGACTCGCCGCCCTGCGACGCACTCGATAGATTGGACAGCCTTGGGGACAGCGACAGCGCCGTTGTCCTCGAAGAGACTGCCGATGATCTAGGGCCGCCCAGGTGCGTACACAATATGACCGCGTCTAATGCTGAGCACTTAACACGTTCACTGCCACGAAAAACTTCAGCGTTTTGTATATCATTTATTCTTCTCTAGCAAAAATAGAAAGGAATAATTATCAATTATTTAGTACACAATCATCAGACGCCAGTTAGCTTACGAATTATAATTGTTTCCGAGTAATTTGAAAACTCCAGGTCATCGGTGACCACCGTGGCAGTCAACGTGTTAACGCTGATTCGACGTTACACGGTTTTCCCAATCTGAATATTCCATGATTATTCGATGTATCGCAGTTCTTGCCATCGGAAACTGGCTGTTAACACTAGAACTACCAAGCGCTTAAACTTACTTTCAAATTTCTTTATAAAACATATGATTCTCTGTTCATTAAGACTTCAATTGGCTTATATTTCAGTGTAGGTATCACTAAATCAGCTTCTTTAATGACTTCTCAGAGAAGCGTTTGTACCTTTCCAGTTTTATATGTCAGTTATAAAAAAATAAATCAAAAATGGGTCATTCTGACCCACCTGGTAGTTCTAGTGTTAACACGTTACGTGCCACGGAAGCTTCGCTTATATTTTGCTCGTGAACTGTATTGATTTTTTAAATAAAATATTAAGTTATATTCGAGTTTTTGGTAATTTATTTGTATTTCGACATTGTTTCTTTATGTTTTCGCTGGTTTGTAATGTATACCGCCATCCGTGACTATGTATCAATTAAAAATATTTTACAAAAATTGGCATGTATACCTGGTACACGTGGCACGGAACGTGTTGATACGTTTCCGGTCAAGTTTTTGCTTTTCTAATACTTATTGCCGGCGGGAATGAAGAAAATCTTAAGCCAATTGCCGCAGATTTCAGAACAGAGACAAAAGTTAGAAAACTTTTTTTGAAATATTAGTCTTGTAACGATGTTGTTTGAATTGAACTTTCCGTTGAAGAAGTTGCTAATGAAAGAAAGCAGAGAATAAAATATTTGAAAAGACGTGAATTTATATCAATGGACGCGAATGCGTTAAACCTTTGTACTCGAGAAGCGACTCTCGGTTGATTTAAAATGGAAGTTTCTTTATTCTTAGTTGCATGTTTCCTTGTTCCTATTTACTGTATGAGAAGATGACTTTGTTTAACGATCTGTCTTCTAGCAACATGCCTTGAGCATTAATCAGGAGGTATACCGTACTTAACCGATACCTTCACCCTATCCCTCGTGTGGTTTTTGATATTCGCCCGACGACGGTGATCCGATTTCATGGCCTTGAATTATCGAGGATCCGGTGCGCTTTAAAACGCCTCGGGTTCTCGATCCCCTACTCCAAAGCGAACTGTAAAGCATCCGGTCTCACGGAAGATCTTATCCCAGGTCCTTCGGTGTCTATTCAAATTTATCGTTTGGCTCCTTTGAACTCCTAGTCACTGTGTTTCCGTGTTTGATTATTTCTCATGCAAATTTTGTTTGTTTACATTTGTTTTGCGCCGCGATTGGAGCAAAATTTGTGACGCCTATTCCCGCGAATAAGGGGATTAACATTACAATTAACATGAGGCAAATCAACATTTTGAAATGTTTTTATAGAAACTCCAAGAGTGCATCTCCTGAGATTTCTATCGATTTACAATTCAGTTAGCGTATTGCTAAATCAATTTGCTAAATTATCTCGCAGAGAATGTTCTGTTATCTTTTCAATAATTACAAGCAGAAGTCAGAAACGGGTTACTTTGAATTATGTGGCAGTTCTACTGTTAATGATATCAGTTATCTTTACTTTTTGAATTTTTTACAATTTTATCGTCAAAACGACTGAATGACCGTTAACTTTTTATATTCATGCTAAATTTCCATTGAATTGAGAAACATCATTGAGTTTAGTACCACGAAATAACAAGAATCTTTTATGCAAAAATCGCAATACCGATAATGATTACTTTAAGATATACTATTTTGTGTATTTTACATATTTGTTTGATTAAAGCTACACCTGTAATAATAAAGTAAAATACATTCTATAATGTTTACCTGATATTTCAGTCAAAGGGAAATTTTGCGGAGTTAATCGATTTGGCTAATGTGTGGCTTAAATGTTACTTCATGGTTGCAAATTATTCGAGTTCTTTAAAACTTCTCAGCGGTTTCAAACTCGACCGTTGCTTCTTTAATTATGATACGTATTTACTGCGCGACTTCGCGTCGTTACGTTCAAAATTACTTTCGCCCCCCTTTGAACTACCCGAACGGTGCAAAACGATAACTGACCAGCAAAAAAGCGGAATCATGCCCGCGTTTATTTCGCAAGGAAATTAGTTTGCCAAAAAATTTTAAGTCAACTTGACCGTTAACTCTTCTTTCGGACTAAAATTGGTAAGATTCCGTCCACGCTGAACTCCTTTCGTACACATTCATACATAAACTTTGCATTGTAATTGTTTCCTAGTTCGTTCCCGGTGAACTCCAATTTCATTTTCCTGGTTTTAGCATCTCGCGTTGGATCGGAAGAAATTGCTAGCTGTTATTTCAAGTTTACACTTTTCATACCAAAACGATTGTTCACGAACAATTTATAAAAAATGTATCACGATACACATTCATGAAACACCAGGCTTGTTCGCATCCCTTGAACACAGCGTTTCCTACGATTTGTATATTAACTATACGAAGCGCCTTGGCAGAGGTAGCTCAAGAATTCTGCAGAAAAACATTATTATCAAGACACAGTCGACTTCACAGGCCAAGCAGTTAAAAGTTGTACACAATGCCATAACCGTTTGCACTTGATAGGTGACTCTCAGTGACTCGATTCGATAGAAATATACAAAGCATTGAAACAAGAGAGCTATGTTTCTTAATTTACATGTTTTTCCATTATTTAGTTTCAAAGAATGTCGTCTGTATCTCAAATGCTGAATGTTGCCAATGAAAAACTTCCGAATACAAAAGGCTGACACAACTTGTATGCGTATCCTCTTTTAAAATCGCTCCGTTCGTGTTGGTACGATTTCCAGGTTCCGTTCGAACATCACCGACGTGACGGTGATCAGGTCGGTGTCGGACGCGGTCGAGCCGTCGAGCAAGTACTCGTCGATGCGACGGTGCAACGGATTCTTGAGGAGACCGGAGATTCTGGAGACGGTGTACTCGGTGGAGGAAGACGGGGACAGCGAGAACAATCAGGACCCGTCCGAGTCGACCGAGAACTCCGAGTGCGAGGAGAGACGGTCGAAACATTTGGGGAACGGGAAGGGCAGGCTTCAGGATCTCTACGGCAGCTTCGAGAGACTCGCCCAAGAAGCGGATTCGCCGCCCAGCGAAAGGCCCAGGGACGAAAGTCAACAGGCGCAGGTCAGCTGTCCTTTTCGCGAGCGCCCACCCCTTCGCAAAAAGTATTCGATCGAACGAACCGAACGAACGTCCCCTCCCTGGAATAATTATCCGCGTCCCGAGCGCGAGAAACGTCTCCATCGATTAACGCCCTTTGACTGCCACGCAGACTTTCAGGGTTTTCATTTATTCCTTTCTAGCGAAGATAGGAAGAGAGAATTATTGATTATTCGGTGTGCGCGAATTCTTACGTCATACTATTGTCTAGTTATTCACGCTATTAAATGTTTTTATTCGATACCGGTTACCTCGCAAATCAGCGAGCCGTGACAGTCAATGCTTTAAGCGATTACGAGATAGGGCATCATTTTTGATGGAATGAGACGTTTATTTTGGAAAAATAGTTAGACATTTGTTGTTTATTCATAGAAGAAATTGAATTTTCTAATATTTCCTGTCGTTATTCTATTTATGGTGCAAAATTAGATAATCTCAAGGTAACAGAGGGATTTGTATTCAAGATTGATTCGCGAATAATTGAAAAGGCACAAAATTGATTTCCGTATCAAATAGGCGCTTATGTTTTATAGTAAAAGGGTTTAGTTTACCCTGAACACACCAGAAATGTTTTATTTTTGATCTAATCGATATTTTATATGTTCTTCATCATACCGTTGTGAACGTGATTCTTTCGACGGTCGTTCACGATTTTCGAAAACTTTTTCATCGAATGCTGCTATATCTTTAATTTTCTCGATGGAGAGGAGAGGGAAGGAAGCGTGGATGATCGATATCGTTTCTGTTGTGTTTTAGGTCACGTACAACAGGGTAATGAGCAATCACCGATCAGTCACCAAGCCAAAAGACGTGAAGTACAAGAGGATAAACAAAGCGAAATCGAAAAGCCTCGAGGAGCTGAGGGGCCGTCTGAGGAACTGGGTCGAGAAGGGGAACAAGATCGCTATATCGTTAGATCAGTCTTATGCCTGAAGAAAATGTACCTCCTTTGAAAGTATAATTAACGTAGATGTACTTTTCAACCGGCGATCGCGTGAACCGATCGCCGACGATTAAATATATCGTTTCATGCTCCTACTCCTCCCCCCTTTTCTGTCTCTGGCGCGCGCAAGCCACCCCGTCCGGGGTTTTCGAAAGCGTTTTATTGTCCGGCGGACAGGATCGCCGGTACTGGTTATATTTAATTGAAATTCTCATCGCTCCATGTGATATTTACTGTAGTGTCTCGAGAATGAAATTAGAGGGACGTTGCGCGCAGACAATTTCCAACTATTGTGATATAAACACGCTATGTAAAAACGATCTTACCGTATCAACACGACCAGGTTGTTTAGTAATTAATAATCATCGATCGAGGCAAGTACCAAGTGGGAAGATGAGGTCGGAAGCCGGACGACGATCGAGGAAAATCGCTGCCGGCGATCCACGCCATTGATCGTCCATCTTCCGACATCGTTCAGCGTCTAACCGCGCGAGCGTGTCGCTTTTGCGTTGACCGCGAAACCCCGGCGTCGCCGAATCCTTGTACAATCAGCGATCCCATCGTCGCAGGACCTTCATCGTTGTACGCTTGAGCATCTTCCTTTCAGCGAGAACGCGTTAAACGGATCTTCCCGTTCCATTTCTATATTATGTACAGATATATACACCCCGCTCCGTTTTTTCGTCTCTGTATCTTCCACTTCTCCGATCCGTTGTTCGGGAAAGGCATGGAACGCTGTTCGGCCAGGCCATTCCCGAGCAGCCACACGACACGCGCGCGTGAACACGCACCGTTTTAACCCTTGAACGGTTCCCTTTCGTCAATTACGACCGCTGCAGCCCTCTTTAATCGGTTGGGATCGACGCTAACGCTTAACGTGTCCAATGCTTAACGAGACGATTTGTTTTTCCGTCTGCGAACGAGGAAGAACGCGAGCGTGGCATCCGTGTGATCGCGTCGAACAGGCCTCAGCTCAATTTTTGTAAACGCTCTATATACACAGACGTACTGATTAAAGGTATCGTAATTGTGATCTGTCGCGTCAGCCTTTTTCCCACGTGCGCCGGATGTGCGACGTTCTCGTTGCATCAAATGCGAAACGGAGCTCCTCCGAGCGTCACTCGTCCTCTGTCCTGTAAGGTTCCACGAACACGCAGTCGCGCGAACGGGTAACCGAACTCGTCGCAACTTTTCTATTAATGACTCGCTGTCAGGGACAACCGACGCATCCATCGGTTCGGCTAGCCGGGACAACTAACATTTTGTACCATAGCGAAGCGAAGAGATATTGATTCGAGGCGCGAACGCTGGTCCTCGCCGTTCTAAAGGGCGAGAGCTCGAGAGCCAGATCGTCCGTTTTGGAACGCCGATCGAAGCGTGCGCTTCGATTCGATGAGTATTATTCTGTTACATAATTGTTCCGACTAGAACGATCGTTGGATCCGTACGAGATGATCAATTCGAACGGATTCCGTGTAGTGTCGTCGAATCGGTATACAGGATTTATTGAGAAAATGTATTACTCTTCTCCGGTGCGATCGTCAATGCCGTACGCGGGACACGAGAGTCACTTTGGCCCGTAGCGTATAATATTTTTCGATCTGTCTTATGCGTCGTACGTCGAACGCCCGTAACTTCATCGATGTACATGTAAGATAAGGAACAAAGGGAAGGGAGATCTCTGTAATGA